ACTTGTCAACAAAGCACGTAGCCAGTGAGCAAACCTGAGGGCCTAAAGCCCACTCCGAAACTTTTCAAAGGACTGTATTTCTACATATACCATATATATTCATTATAAGTGCTTCGTGATTTTTCAATAACTTAAAATCTTTATTTTAAATTATTCAAATAATCTGAAAGCCGCTTCCGAAGTATATTTCTGTCTACGAGGGTTTTATTCGACTATATAGCTACATACTTTGACTATATAACTTATAGATGAATAGGTTTATTTACATATGTGTGATAGTACATAACGCATAATACGTTAGGCTATAGGATTTTGTTTTATTTAACGAAAAGTTTTCGGTTCAGCTCATTCGTTAAATCGAATTAAAACGTTGACCAAAGGTATAGCTCTCGATAATTATATGAAAATTATATTTCTTTAAAAAACTTATATTCGTTTTTTAATACGGGCTTCTTCTTGCAAATCTCTTCAAATCAATATTTTGATGTAATAATAATATATATTATTCTTTATTCCATTCCAATGTGGTACCACAATGGGCCATTTTTTGAGCTCAAGTGGACTTTTTAGGGATACAAGGCCGCCACTCCAACCTACCCACCTAGTCCATTCCATAGAAAGCTTAAGTTTTCTCCATCACTCAATTTAGCTATTGATATATATATTTTGTTGTGTCCCGCATAGCCATCGCAAGTAAGATACCGATGTCTGAGCAGTGAATTTAAGAGCACAGTGTGCCTGCTTTGCCGAACTCATTAGCCCTGGGGTTAAGTGAGATGCGCTGTGTATGAGTTCAAGCATATTGTGATATTTATGTTGTTGCTCGGAACTTCTGACTAAAAGATGTTGCAATGGTTAAATAGTTGAAGTGAGATGCAAAGACATAGTTCTTTTTTTAAATATACCTCTTCGGACTCTATCCTAAAGGTTGGAGCCGTCAATGTAAATATCAAGGGTACGCAGAGATTTATTCGGGTGTATGTATATGTGTGTATATAGTAATACAGCGTTAAAATACTAATATATCTAATTAGTTTAGAATTTATTTTGCATATATATTTTATTTACAAGTAGTTAATAATACATTTGTATAATTATTGAACCAAAGACCAGACATTTCTCCATATTCCTACATAATTATAAATATAAAGGAAAGTATTTATTTTCATGTAAATGCGTTTTAAATTTCTAAGTAAACACAATAAAATTTCTAATTTATTTGTTTAATATATTATTTTTTACAAATTCAGAAAAGATTTAAATGAAAAATAAAAATTTTTTAATATGATATTCAATCTCATATGTCTCATTTTGCAACAAATTTTTAACAACGTCATTTTAAGCACTTATTTTTTTTTACAAAATTAAAAAATTTTAAAACAAATAAAATTTTATTTAATTGTTGACATTTGTTTCAATTAAGAGAACCTCAACTTATTTACAAATGTGAAAAGCTGCTTTTTTAACAAATTTTTTATTTTTTTTACATATAATGCATTTTGTTTTCGGGTTCAATGCTTTTTAAAATAAACAAATTAAAAAAATTAGTTGAGTGCTAAACATTTGCATTTATTTTCTGCTGGCAATTGATTTCATATTAAGTATCTACAACAAATTTAGAAAAAATTTTATTACTAAATTCTAATAAGATGGGCAGTTAATTTGAAATTAGTAGCTATTAATCGGAATAATATTCTATTGGAATGAACAGCATCCAGTTGAGATATTTTATAATTAAACTTTCATTTATTATTCACGATTTACTGATGTTTTTATTATTATCTCTAAAAAATTATTTTGTATTGAATATAAAATTTTGCTATATAAAAAAAAAGAATATTAATTTATTTTTGACTCGGATGTCAGTTATGAAAAAGTACGAAACATTGGACCAAGTTAGGTACAGAGATATATTACGAATGATCACGCCAGTTTTTCAGTTTTTGACTATCTTCTGTTACATTATGGCTACAAATAGCGTATTTTGAATCGATTTGCGGCAATATAGAAATAATAATAGAAAAAAAATGACCACCATACCTTAACCTGTCTATGAAAAATGTATGGGCAATAAACTCAAAGGTTGTATTGCAGTGAATGAGTCCTACTTATAATAGGTTTCTAAGTTTTAAAAACTGTAAAATTTTAATATGTCAACATGCCTCAATCTCTTGTAAGCATATTAAAAAATGAAGAGATAATATAATAATTACTTTAGGTGAAAGCACTCAAGATGTTATCAGTCTTATATCAAGTTTCCACTGCAGCTAAGTATACTTATATTAATGTAATTAAGTCGCTTTTATTGGCATGTGCTGATTTATACAAGTGAAATAACTTTGTTTACATTTACATATAAAGCACATGATATATGATATTTAAAATTTTGTTAATTTCTCTTAAGGGAAATTTATTTTTAAGGGTTGCATTCACACTCTTCACCTTAAATGAGTTAATTTATTTATAATAATCTCATTTATATGAAATCACTTTGTATGGTAAATTATCCTCATTAGCGATGTTAATAAATAAATCTGCCTAAATGAGACCAGACCATGGTGTTCGTTTGTATACATAACAAGTACATCTATTTGCAAAATTATCTGCCTAAATGAGACCAGACCATGGTATTAGTTTCTATGCATGACAAGGACATTAAAAAAAAGAATTAAAAGAAGGATCTACATCACAAATATAAGTATTAAAATATATAAAGGAAAAATAAAAATCTTAAGAAACTAAATACAAACAATAAACAAAAATATTACTTGTATTCACAAAAATCATTCATAATGGATACATTTAAAATTTTAGCAAATACATGGTTAGGGGGTTTTGAAGAAGATGGAGTTAATAAGTCAGCAATGTTGGTATTTCATATGTCTCAAAATAAGCGGTTGTTTTCTTCGCAATCTGCTTACAAAATATTACGCCTAACGATTTTAACGATGTTTTAGTATATAATTAGTTCTATAAATATGTTTCATTAAATTGGTCTGTATGAAAATGATCTGAGAAAGACAAAGTCTCAAAACAATTGACTGATTAACTGATTTATTATTTGTTCAAATTATTTTGGAAATATTTTACATAGTATCTATATATCCTTAAGTTCGTCTTAATACCGTGATGAGTGTATAATAAAACTATGGCACACATAGTCTAGGTTTAAATCGCACGTGGGTCTCGCCAATGAATATACTTTGAAAAATCTTCATAAAATGCTTATGACCTCTGTTTAAGCAATATAGCTTTGGTACTCTCTAAATATGCAAACTTGTCAACTAGAAAATCTTCATAGAGGCTTAACTGTATATATTATCGATAAGAATCAATAAGCATATAAATGGCTTACGGTCAGACAGATTAATCTAAACTAACAAACCCTATATTGCTGTAAGTGTGTACAGTTTGTAACCGAAATAATATAATATAATCTTAAAACAAGAGATTTTTGATAGACAGAATAATTTATAAATTAACAACTTTTTTTTTCATCCACTTCTAATTATCGTTCAATTAAATTCTTTATAAAAACAGTTCTCATTATCTCTCCACTTTCTGTGTTCACCTCGACTTTTTAATCACTGAAACATTAAGTCTTAAATTAAAATTGTACGTTTCATATTAATATTGTGTTTGATTCAATTTAAAAATCATTTAACTTATAGCATTGTAATGGCAATTATAAATGGCCTTAACTAAATATGCAATAAAAGCTCTTGTTAAAACTATACAATTTACTATTTAGCATTTTTTTAGTGCGTGCAGTCTGTAATTTAAAAATTAATAAATATTGATTATTCTTTTCCTAGAATTACTCAAGTGCAAATTTATTTAGGATATCCGTAACATTGTCTAGACATGATTAAGATACGCTAAGAGAAGTTGTAATACGACAATTTTTTTTGGAAATTAATACAATTTTGAGACTATATAACCTACAAATAACAGTACCTTAGGTTAAGTTTGATTTAGTGAACTTTACATAAGTGCAAATACGATATACACCATACCTGAAGAACCTTTAAATCAAACAGTCTGAAACAACTAGTGCACAATCGGTGTCTCTGTGAGATGCAGTGATTTTCCTTCCCAATAAAATAGAAGAAAATCAACCTGAAAAGTCTATAAACTTGGTTGTTGACTATAGCCCACAATAGTATATCACCTATTTGCAATACTCTTAACAGAAATTTATTACGAAATATGGTTCTGCTCCTCATACGGAATTGATATCATAAATTTAAATAAATTCCAGAACGTTAAGCAATTAAAGGACAGGAATTTAGCTAGCCTGATAATCAGGAACTATCTGAGTATTTTCCTCACCAATAAGAATAAAATTAAGTCTTTCAGATATCTTTAAACCTAAAGCGAAGAGTTGGAAATAATATCTAATTCTTAATACTGTATATAAAAAATATACAAATTTCGAAACCTTTTTAAAACCCTTATTCTCTTATGGCATGATGTTCGTAATAGAGAGATGGTTAATTTTGATTTGAATTTTAATTATTTTTGCAGAAAATTACATTTTTCTTGAAATTATCACAAATGTTTTGTTCAATATATGTTTTTGAACTCGTATAACACCCAGCTCTTAAAGCATCGTCTTTGGAAGCAACCTAAGGTAAAACTATAATTTTTTGAAAGGTGAAATTAATTT